TGTGTGTGTGTGTGTGTGTGTGTTTTTCATTAACTCCTCACCTGTTCCTAATGTAATAGGTAACTTATTAGGTGGAACTATGAATACTTGCCATTTCTTTAGGTCAAAACAGCCAATCATTAGCAATTACATATAGCTTAAACTATCATCTGTCTAGTGAAGAAAAAGTCAAAACACAAAGAGACTGAAGTGACTAAGACAATCAGTCAGGTTTGCAAGTCATGCAGGCATCAGCATTCTTGACCAATATGTCATATAAATTCCCAAACGGAGAGGTAGTAGGTTAGGTGTTGTACCAGGAACAGTCATGGGGATGGCACAAAACTTGGCAGCATTACATTCTATTATGCATTACAATTGTTCTAAGTCAGAGCTGGTTCAATGGCAATTAACAGCAACTTTTAAGCCATAATCAAATGTTATTTGCACAGTATTAAAGAGTATACAAAAAGTCCAGGAATAATGACAAAGCAAATTCTGCATAAGGATCAAATGTCTACATCATTTTAAATAGCCCATGCCTGTTCTTGTTTCTGGCATTATCTTTTCCTTCCATGAACTCTTACTCATATTTCATTTAGCCAACAAATATTTACTCAAGATCAGGCTCAGTCATTCTTTTATGAGAATAATTTTTCTTTTTCCATCTCTCTCCTAATTCTTATCAATTTACCATCTGGAATTGCATCTGTTGTTCTTACGTATTATAGAGTCAACTATGGCTCATGGCAACCTTATAAACAACAGACCTGAACTCTGTCCTATCCTGTGCCATCCTCATTATCTCTGACACACCTAAACCCTCTACTGTAGTCTTTATGTCAATCCATCTTGTCCCTCCATCTTACCAAGCATGATTCCCCCTTTCCAAGGAATAGCCTCTCCCAGCAACATGCCCATTAGGCAAAGCTTTGTGATCATTGCCTCCAAGGAGCACTCTGGCTGTTTGTTCTTTTGGCAGTGCACGAGATATTCTGTACTTTTCTCCAACACCACAACTCTAAGTAAGGCATAATTCTTCTTGTGATATACTTATTCACTGTCCAGATCTCAGATGTGTAGTAATTGAAAAGCTCATGGCCTGAATCAGACATACCTAATGTGAAGAGGTCCCTGACACCGCACTTGTCCAATGCATTGTCTCCTGTTCTCGCTATTGTTACTAGGGATGTTGATTGTTGATCCAAGTAAGATGAAATCATTGACATTATAAATCTTTTTTTCCCATCTATCATGATGTGCCTATTGGCCCGGTGGTAAGGACCTCCTCCCCCTTTGTAGTATACCATCGAGTCAGATCCAATTGGCACAGGAGATTGCCCCTCCGTCTCCAGCGGAACATCTAGTGGATTTGAACCTCCTGTCTTCGGGATTGCAGTGCAGCTTTTTGCAACTAGGCCTCCTGAGCTCCCTGAGGACCTTTTTATTTAAAAAAAAATGCTGAAATCTATACCCCTTTTAATAAGAATTTTACCCTTTAGTATAAATGATTCTCCCTAACAAAGCTGAAAGTTTTCCTAAGAAAAACTCAACATGTAAAATTAAATACGAAAAAACGCAATCAGAACCACCTCTAAGGGAGGTGATAAAGCCTTTATTGATGTGACTAGTTTAAGTGTTCTCTCTAATGTTAACCCATCTGGATGTTCTCGTACTAATAAATAACTAGCTTCGCCTTATTTCTGGAACTATAATTTACTACTTCAAGGGCAAGGATTAAGTCTTTTTCTCTGACCTCACTCATTATCCAGCACTTAGTGAAAATCAATAGGCATTTTATTATCAGCATGAGGGAAAGTCCTTGAGGAAGGAAGTAAACTAAGAACAAAATCAAACTCACTGTGATGAAATCAATCCTGACTCATAGCAACCCTGTAGAACAGAGAAGTATCCTTAGAGGCTATAAATCTTTATGGAGGGAGCTCCGATGGCATAGTCCATAGGAAGTTGCCTTAACCCAAAAGCCACACCACTCTGGCGGTTCAATCCTCCCTGCATTTACAGCCTAAGTAATCCAAAGAAGGTTCATTCACTATGACTTGGTTCTATCTCCATCGCAGAGTTTGAATTTTGAGAAATCTTTATGGATGGAAGGTGTCTGTCTCTTTCAGAGTGGCTGGTGGGATAGAACTGCCAGCCACTTTTTGATCAGCAGCTGAATGCTATGGCCACTAGTCACCAGGGCTTCTTGAAATGAATTAAAAGGGAAGGAGCGTTTTATGCTTTAACATCCGCCTTGAGGACCAAAATCTGCTTGTGTTTCAAAGCCTTGGTTGATGCCTTCGCTGTTTTTTTAAAGAGGTGTGGAAGTGAAACACCGGCCTGACAGCCTATTGGCGGAGAGGCGAGACCGCGAGCGGCAGGTCACCGCACGAGATGGAAGCTGCGTCGGCCAGCGCAGGGTCCTCTGACCGACAGGGGGAGCCCTGCTGCGCGCCGGGTCCGCGCCGCCCCACCCCGCCCCGCGCGCCCCGCTCTTTCTCGACCGCGGGGCGCCACGCCCGCTGCAGGCCGAGGGCCAGTCACCCGCGGGCCGGTGCCCCGCAGCCCCCCTCCGCCGCCCCGCCCGTTCCCCAGCCGCGGGACCGGTAACGGTTACGAAGCACTTTTTCAGCTGCGTTTTCTGCTTAGTCATTGCCTTCCAGGAAACAGCTACCTCAATTTGGAGCCAAGTCTTCTGTGGAGGCGGCCGCAGTCCCAGGAGCTGCAGCCACCAGCGCCTCCTTCACGGACCCCGCCGGCCTCCCTCGGTCCGGGGTGCAGGCCCTGATCCTGCCGCGCGGGGCCAGCAGCCTCGCGCTCCGCACGCCGCCTCACACACCGCGTCTTGCGGGGCGGCCCCCATCCTCGCCCGCCCTCCCGCGACTCCGTCGCCGCTTCGCCCCCTCGGGCAGCCGCTGCCATGGGGACCGACAGCCGCGCAGCGGGGGCGCTCCTGGCGCGGGCCCGCACCCTGCACCTGCAGACCGGGAACCTGCTCAACTGGGGCCGCCTGCGGAAGAAGTGCCCTTCCACGCACAGCGAAGAGGTGAGGGCCCCCGAGCGTTGCCCGCGGGGGTTGCGGGGAGGCCTCGGGCCCGGCGGGCGGATCCGGAGGCCCGGCTACTGGCGGTGCTCGGGGCGCAACCGCGGGGACGAGGGAGGCTGGAGCCAGGGCGCGACAAGGGCTCCACAACTGCTCCTGCATCAAGCGGCCTAAAAACTTGACAGGTGCAACTTCACGCCGAGTGACGCCTCCAACAATGCTTATCATGGCTCTTAGCAAAACTCTCCAGAAACATGTATTTATTGTATTACTCAGCGGCATTGAGGTCAGAGGAGGGAAGCACAGCGCTCATCCTCCTGATCTCACTCCACACACTGTCTAGGTAGAGAATTATTCTAAGGTGAGCTTTTGGTGGAGTCGGTAAAATAATAAAACATTTAACTTTTAGGATGTTGACAGTAATTTCTCTGTGGTTGTGAGAGGCATCTTACCAAACATTCAGATTTTATTTATTTTTTAAAATAATTTTTTTTTCTTTTACAACGTTCAAATTTTGCTTTGAAATCTTCATCTTTTTCTTGTCGAATATTTTCTCCTGCGAAGCAGCTAGAGAAATCACACAGCTGGAAACTGCAGCCGTTAGTAAAAAGCTTAAGGGCTCCAGTACTTAGGTGGTACAATCAGCTCTTGTAGTGAGCTGGACTTGGAACCAAAATGCTGGGGAGTCGGGTCCAGTGAGATGTTACTTGGAAGAAAGGCCTGGTTTACTTTAAAAAAAAAAACAAAAACAAACCAACCACCAGCCATTTCAGACCGTTTAGAGCACTGTTCTAGCCTGACATACAAGGAAGCCCTTGAGTTGGAGTTGATTACTCAGCAGCTGGTTTGCCTTCTAGTTTAGGAGCTCTGTGACTTTAGGAAAGGGACCGTATTGGAGTCAGTTTATGTATCCTTGAAGCTGGATAAAATGCCTTTCTTGTCATGCTGTATATTAAAGATATTTATTATATAGGCACTTTTCTCCTTTCTCATCAGATCCAGTTAGAAAGATCAAAAGAATCTTGATTAACGGGAAAATCCTAGAGGATTTGATACTATGGTTGTTTTCCTAAGCAGCCTTTAATAAAAAGGGGCTGTGTGTGATAGACCATACAGCAGCACTTGCTGTCCTCCTCAGTCTATTTTAGACCTGAGTCTTTTGCTAAGAGTCCTAGCTCCTTTAATAGGAATCAGTCCCTACCCTGCCTTGTGACCAAGTTCCAGCTCATTTGTATATTTTGTTGTTTTTTCCAAACCACCCACTTTGACTATTCTTTCTCACAGATAAATATTTCTGTATTTAGAACCTTTATGCCAACAACGATGGTTCAGTACAGCATTTTGCATCTGTTTTGCCAATTCTGGGTAAAATTCCTCTTTTTTGCAACACAATTATAAAATTACCATCAAAGGTTGTTTTCTTTTATTCCAAATACAGTATATACCTATGAAGCACAAATTCTACACACAAGAAAATTAGCCCAACTTTGTGGCATAATATTTTACTCATCTGTCTGCAAACAGTGGTTCAAATCACTAGGAGGATTGGAAGAAAGTTGAGCCAGTTTCCTCCTCCCATAAAGATTAGAAACTGGAATAAACTTGAAGCAGTGGGTTTAGTTCTCATTATGTATATTATGCAGGCTATGTGTGGTATCTTTCTCTTCTTGACATTGAGCCTCAGTCCATACTGAAGGCTGCAGTCCTTG